TGAAGTCCCTGTTGAATTGTATCTTGTACACTTAACATTCCTGGAGCCCCCGCAAAGATAACACCTCTATGCATTCTCTGTATTACATGCCTGTGTTTTTCTCTGATGAATTATTACAATAAGATATGTCATATGATTGAATATTTTTTACAGACACATGAAATTATACACACTTATAGAATGTCATGTAATATTTAGATACATGTGCATATTGTGTGGCATGAGTAGAGTTAAAAACAAGTGAAATCTAACTATTCCCTCAAATCTCTATTAATATGTCAGTTCTATTTAGTGAAAATATCTGGTCTGTTTTTTAGGTCCCTTTTTGTACTTATGCTTTTGAAAAGTTAGGGATTAAAACCAGGACCTCATACATGCAAGGCAAGTACTCAGTCACAGAGCTACTGTTATTTAATCATGTTCTTTCTCAATGACTGAATTGTATGGACTTTTACATTTCAGCAATATGTGTTTGGAACTCAATTTAGATTACTCTTGATCATGAAATAATTGGTCATTCAAGGTGTAGAATACACATTATATTGAGTAAAAGGTAGAGAGAAAAATACAAACTCCTAATCCAAGATGGCACCAGGGATGCTTTTAAGAAGACCAGTTACAAAATTTAGCAATGTTAATTTTATCTTTATAGCATATGGAATCACAAAATGACACAAGAGTTTCAGAATTTCTTCTTCTGGGATTTTCAGAGGATCCAGAACTTCAGGCCCCAATATTTGGACTTTTCCTGTCTATGTACTTGATCATCCTGCTTGGGAACCTGCTCATCATCCTTGCCATCTTCTCAGACTCCCACCTGCACACAACCATGTACTTCTTCCTCTCCAACTTGTCATTTGTAGATATCTGTCTTACATCAACCACCATGCCAAAGATGATGGTGAATATCCAGAAACAAAGCAAGGTCATAACTTATGAAGGCTGCATCACCCAGACTTATTTTTTTACATTGTTTTTGGGGTTGGAAAGCTTTCTCCTGGCTGTGATGGCCTATGACCGGTTTGTGGCCATATGTCACCCTCTGCACTATACAATCATCATGAAGTCCCAGCTCTGTAGATTGCTTGTATTGGCATCCTGGATCATGAGTGCCCTGAATTCTTTGTTACAAAGCTCCATGGTGCTGCGGCTGACCTTCTGCATAGAGTTGGAAATTCCACACTTTTTCTGTGAACCTAATCTGTTGGTTTATCTTGCTTGTTCTGATACTTACCTCAATTATTTGGAGTTGAATTTGGTAGCTGGACTGCTGGGTGGTGGAACCCTTGCTGGCATCCTTTACTCTTACTCTAAAATAGCTTCCTCCATACGTGCAATCTCATCAGCTCAGGGGAGGTATAAAGCATTTTCCACGTGTGCATCTCATCTCTCAGTTGTCTCCTTATTTTATTGTACACTACTAAGTGTGTACTTCAGTTCTGCTGTCACTGAAAATTCACACTCAAGTGCAACAGCCTCGGTGATGTACACTGTGATCACCCCCATGCTGAACCCCTTTATCTACAGTCTGAGAAATAAAGACATAAAGAGAGCTCTGAAAAATTGCTTTGACAGAGGAATTATAGAATCCTCTATTGTTGTGGGACTAAAGAAGTTGTGTTAATCACAGTTCAATGGTTCAGTGCAAATATTTTTTTCCCATTAAGTTTACTGGTACATTTTCAGTATAAAATACAGTTACATTAATCATTGGGATCTTGTACCTTTACACGAGTATCTTGGTTCCTATTTTTTTCCCCTTCCCTTGACCTCCCTTCACCCCATCCACCCTTCCCTATTTACAAAGACTTTATTTCCATTTTTTCCATTTCTCATCATTTTTCCCTTCCCTTCTTTCCTTTCCCCTGCCCCTCCCACT